TTCAGGAAATTGGGGCATACGGTCATCCTAGCTGAGATTGGCTTTCTACCTGCCAGACGTGTCTCCCTTTCCCTTCTCCCATCCTGTTTTATTTATAGCACTTTATCATAGTATTTTGTGGTCACTTATTGTCTACGTCACCTCAAGATAAGATGCCAATCGTGGTCTCATTCTATGCCAGCATTTAGAGCTGTTGACACACAGTATATACTGTTCAGTAGATGTTAACTGAATACGTACATGATATTTCTGCCTTTGGCCTTGAAGTCTTGTGAAGATGTGATAGACACATGAAAAACAGAGAAGTAGTGGTATATACAAATCATACTTAGATAAAACAAAATGTTCTCATTTATAAGAACTTTTTTTTGTGGCATGTTCTAAGTAAAATTTTTCATTAGCTAAATTTCTTAAAAAACAATTTTCTAAGCTTGTGTATTGGATATTTAGGACAGTTCCTTGAGAAACATCCTCAGGCATTCATTTTTGGATATATCTGTATTGAATAACCAAATGAATTCCTAGAAGTGGATTTGCCGTGGTAGAGGATATGCATATTTTCAAGGCTGATGCTGTATAAATTGCCATTCTTCTTTAGAAAGCAATTTGTACCCATTTTACATACACACCAGTAATGTGTGCAACAGTACCTTTTTCTCTAAACCCTCACCAGACACTAAGCATTATTTTTTAATATTTTGCCAGTTTCTTTGTTTTACTTTTCTGTCATTATTGAAGTTGACTTCATTAATTTTATTTCCTTTGTTAATCTCATATTTCTGTCATGTCTTATATTTCTGTTGCGATCATTTTTTCTTATTGATTTGTAAGATACATATGTATATCAGAATTTTGCTGTTGTGCTTTTTCTGGTTTGTGGTTTGCCATTTTAGGGTGTCTTTGTTTTACAGAAAAATTTTTTCTCTGTCAAAGATAATACTCTTGTTGTTTGTGCTTTTGGGGGTTGTGCTTAGGAGGGTGTCCTCTGTCCCTTGTTTGTATATGTGTTTCTGTTAGGTTTCTTGAAAGTCCTGCAAACGTTACCTGGTCTTTTGAAGGACCCCAGATTGGAAATCACTTTGGGAATATCAGTGTCCTTAATTTTCTTGCCTTATCCTAAGCGTCAAGGAACAAATTAAAAGGACAAAAAGCTTTCTGGAGAGAGATTTAGGACAGAAACCTAAGACTGGATGCAGTAACTCTCTAATACTGTATTTCAGCAAAAAGATGTCTTTGCTTATAAGATACTGTTATTTACCTCTAAGATTAAAGGAAAAGTACTACTCATGAAACCATAAAATGCTAGTGATTGTGGGATGGATATTGACTTCAGAGTTTTTAAGGTATGAACATGTGGGTATTAGAATTCGTGAACTATGGAATATGTCAACTTGGACTGCAGCACAGTTGTTTTTATTTATTTTTAATAAATTTATTCATTTAACTTTTGTCTGCATTGGGTCTTTGCTGCTGCATGCGGGCTTTCTCTAGTTGCAGTGAGTGGGGGCTACTCTTTGTTGGCGGGGCGCAGGCTTCTCATTGTGGTGGCTTCTCTTGTTGCAGAGCACAGGCTCTAGGCACGTGGGCTTCAGTAGTTGTGGCGCGTGGGCTTCAGTAGTTGTGGCACACGGGCTTCAGTAGTTGTGGCTCGCAGGCTCTAGAGCGCAGGCTCAGTAGTTGTGGTGCACGGGCTTAGTTGCTCCGCGGCATGTGGGATCTTCCCAGACCAGGGCTCGAACCCGTGTCTCCTGCATTGGCAGGCGGATTCTTAACCACTGCGCCACCAGGGAAGCCCCAGCACAGTTGTTTTTAAATCTTGTGGTTGCATTGTATAGTTTTTTTGCTTGTTTGATTTTGGCTAGGTAATTTTTTTAAAAAAGCTTTATTGAGATATAATTTATGTACCTTAAAATTCATCCATTGTACAATTCAGTGGTTTTTAATATATTAGAGATATGTGCAGATACCACTACAGTCAATTTTAGAACATTTTCATCACCTCAAAAAGAAACCCCAATACAATGGAATATTATTCAGCCTTAAAAAGGAAGGGAATTTTGATACATGCTAACACATGGATAAACCTTGAAGATTTCTGCTAAGTGAAATAAACCAGTCACAAAAGGACTGGTGACTCATATGATTCCACTTATATGAGGTCCTTAGAGCAGTCAAGTCCATAGAGACAGAAAGTAGAATGGTGGTTCCAGAGGCTGGGGGAGGGGATGGAGAGTTAGTGTTTACTGGGTGTAGAGGTTCTTTTGGGGAAGATGAAAATGCTCTGAAGATGGACGGCGTGATAGTTGCACAACAATGTAAATGTACATAATTCTACAGAAATGTACACTTAAAAATGGCTAAAATGGTGAATTTTATGTTATGTGTATTTTACGACAGTGAACAACAAAAGAAACCGCATACACTTTAGCCATCACCTACTATTCCTCCACCCCACCCCACCATCCCTAAGTGCCCACTAATCTACTTTCTGTCTCTATGGATTTGGCTATTCTGGACTTTCATATGAAAGGAATCATCAGTCACTATGATTGGCTTCTTTTACTTAGCATATGTTTCAGAGTTTGTCTAAGCTGTAGCGTGTATCAGTGCTTTGTTCTTTTTTGTGGCAGAATAATATTCCCTTGTATGAATATACCTGATTTTATCTATCTGTTCCTCCGTTGATGGATGTGACATTTGGATTGTTCAAGGTTTGTATAGTTATTTTGGGACTTAACTTGAGATCTCATGATTCTAAGACGTAAAAACCTACTCCACCTGTATTAAGCAAAGAGGACTTACTGTGAGACTATGTAGGCCGTTTAACAGGTATCCAAGGAGAAAGAAAGAAATACAGCACCTTCTCTGGGGGCTGATTCAAGGAGTGTGAGCCTAGGCAGTTCCCAGTGTGTCTCGGAGGGCCTTTGAGGTCTCTGGGCTCCACTTCTCTCTGCTCCTGTTCTGGTCTGTGTCTGGACTGGCGTCCTCTGCTCCCCTGTAACTTCTCTGGCACATGCTCTGGCTCACCTTGACTCCTACTCTGGCCAGTTCGCAATAGCTAATGTTCTCAATTCAGATTCCTGGAGGGGGATGTGATTGGTACAACCCGGGTCCAGTAGAGTAGTTCACTTGACATAAACATCATGTCAAAGCCACACCTTAACAGGGCCAGAGTTTCTAGGAGTGCAGGGTAGAAGGAGTGCAGAGACCTGGTGTGACCTGCCTCTGTAGGGCACTCATGCTAGTCAATCTGAAGATGGCCTGATTCTCTAGGCCAGTGGTCATCAAACTTTCTGGCCTCAAGACTCCTTTTATACTCTTAAAAATTATTTGGGACTCCAAAGAGCTTTTGCTTATGTGGGTTATATGTGTTGATATTTACCATATTAGATACTAAGATGGGGAAATGTAAAAGATATTTATTTAAAAATAATATAAACCCAAATCTTAACGTAAATAACATTTTAATAAGTATTTTCCAAAATATAACAAAAAATTTGATGAGAAGAGTGGTATTGTTTTACATTTTGGCAGACCTCTTCTGTATCTGAAAAGAAGGTAGCTTGTTTCTCATTTCTGCTTCAATCTTGCAATACGTTTTTTTTTATATATATAAATTTATTTTATTTATTTATTTTTGGCTGCTTTGGTTCTTCGTTGCTGTGCGCGGCTTTCTGTAGTTGCGGCGAGCAGGGGCCACTCTTCGGTGCGGTGCGTGGGCTTCTCATTGCGGTGGCTTCTATTGTTGAGGAGCACGGGCTTTAGGTGCGCGCGCTCAGTAGTTGTGGTTCGTGGCTCAGTAGTTGTGGCTCTCGGGCTCTAGAGCGCAGGCTTAGTAGTTGTGGCTTGTGGGCTTAGTTGCTCCACGGCATGTGGGATCTTCCCGGGCCAGGGTTCGAACTTGTGTCCCCTGCATTGGCAGGCGGATTCTTAACCACTGTGCCACCGGGGGAAGCCCCAGTATGTTGTTTTGATGGACGTTTATGAAGAAAAGCTAACCTCAGGTAGACATGTATTTAGAAAAGGGAGGGGGTATTTTAATAGCCTTTTAACATAATTGTGGATATTCTTTGATATCACACCCAAACCAGACAAATGGTAAATTTTTAAAGGTTAGTTACTGTGTAGAATCTGAAACCATATTAGTAAACCTTTCATATTCTGTCACATTAAACATTTATTGGTTTGTCTTGCGCCTATTTATTTAACTGGTAAAATGTTTTGTACTTTAAATAAATATTTCATTTACGCCTTATTTTGTAATTCTGTATTGGTCATTTGGAAAATACTGATTCATTGAGTTATGCAGATCTTCAAATTTCATTATGTAATATCACACTTGTTAATACCACCACCAATCTTGCCAGAAAAGTCTTTAAATGTGGGGAAGCCGTCAGGCTCATGGTGACAGATGGAAGTTTTTCCAAAATCCTCATTTTCTAAAAAAATTTGGCAGTTGCTTTTCTTGAAGTGATAGGCTCACTTTGTTCTTCCTTGAAAGCTTTTCTATCCCTAATGCCTTCTTAGGCTGTCATTTTGGGGCAGAATTATTTAATAAAGACAATATTTCCTCTGCACAAATGCTTACCTTATAAATACTCTTGAATCCTTTTAACAGTTGACTTTTTCACAACCCCCAAATTTACAGCCATAGATTTTTGTTTTTGTAATATGTAATATTTGTGTTTCAGATATTTACTGAAAGAAGGATGTTTACTGAGCAGTTGCTATGTGCTGGCTCCTGAGCTAAGATTTTATGTGTGTTCACTTTATGTAGGTAATGGTATTATTTGTGATATGTTAAAGAAACTTTTTTAAGTATAGAGGAAAAGACCCATTGATGTTTTTAAAGCCCCAGTAACTTCTATTATATTAAGTAAGTAAGAGAGAAAGCTTTTACTGATAATAGTGGTTTTGTTTATGTAGCTATAGTTGTGTTATTGGAAGCACACCTGGTGCTTTAGTACTTATCAATTCTTTTCTTTCCCCATCCTGTTTAGGTGATTTCCTAGAAGCATGATTGTTTGTTGCACTTGATCTCACAACCTGGTGAGGACTTCTTTACTGATAATGTCAAGTTCAGGTTATCCTCCCAACCAAGGAGCATTCAGCACAGAGCAAAGTCGTTATCCTCCCCACTCTGTTCAGTACACCTTTCCCAGCACCCGTCACCAGCAGGTAAGGAACAGCTATTATGCAAGTTGCATACGTATTTTGTGTTTTTCTTTACTTTTCCCATTTAATACATTTGTTGGTCAGAAACCAAATACAATTATATATATATAATTGTTATATATATTTTTTAATGGCAAGAACCATTCTCAAAGGTGGGGGACCAAAGGTTAGGGATTAATTATATTTATCTTCTTATTGTGACTTTATGCCAGATTTCAGGAGGTGAACGTGTCTCTGCTTCTGATTGTAGGAGTTGTTGATGGATAGAGAAGAATCAATTGCCTAGAGTTTCTAAGTTAAGACCTCTGTTTATGCGCCAAGTTCTGGTTGAGTATTAAGCTGGCCGGATGACTTGGCCTCTCTTGAGTGAGGGCCAGGTCCTGTGCTAAGGTTTTCTGTATGTGTGTTTACTCTATGTAGCTACTGGTATTATTTGTGATATATTAAAGAACCTCTGCCTTGAGAGATTTGATGGTAGGAAGATGAGTTTGCATGATTGTTTTACCTTGTGAAAAATAAAATAGGTGAAATTATCAGCTTAGAGTGTGCCAGGGATGGGGGTGTAAGAGGTTTGAAGAAAAGAGAAGGGAAGGGATGAAATGGTCATTTTGGAGAACAAGAAAGCACACTTACCAGCAAATATAGTTGAGTACTACTGGGTACTACCGAGGACTCCTTTAAAGCATGGTCATGATTACAAAGTGAGAAGGGACATCCTTACCTTGTTTCTGTTTAGGGAAACATTCAGTCTTTCACTATTAAGTATCATATTAGTCGCATTTTTTTGTAGATGTCCTTTTTTGGTTGAAGAAGTCACTTTCTACTGCTAGATTGAGGATTCTTACATGGTTAGGTGCTGAGTTTTGGTTGTGTGTCCTTCCTGCCCCAGTGCTATTCATCTGATTACTGATTTCCTAGGTTATTGCTGCTGCTTTCTTTTTTTTTTTAATCGACTTTGGGATTTACTTTATAATAAAATTTTATTATATGTGTACATTTTGACAAGATTCATACAACCATAAAACCACCACCAAAATGAAGAAAGAAAAAAATGTCTATCACCCCAGAAAGTTCCCTTGTGCCCTGTCCAGGTCAGGCCTCCTCCCCAACTTCCCACAAACCTCAACTCCCAGGAAACTGTGGTCTGCTTTCTGTCATGACAGATTACCTTTGTCTTGAGTTTCACATGAACTCTTTTGTCAATGGCTTCTTTTCTGTCCCATAATACTTTTGAGGTTTATCCATGTTCTCACGCATCTTGGTAATTAATTTCTTTTTATTGCTGGGTATGGATATACCATAATTTGTTTATCCAGTCACTTATTCCAGTTTTTGGTTATTACAAATAAAATTGTTTAGGAGATACGTATCTATGTATTAGCTGTATCTACTAGATTACATAAAGAAGCTTTGCCTTCTTTTCTTATGGTATTCTTGGGAGATACGTTTTTAATCTTATCAAGTCCATTTTATTAATTTTTGTCTTGAATATTTCTTGCTTTTTGTGTCATATTTGAGAATTTTTTTGCCAAACTCAAGGTCACTAAGATTTTCTTCTATGTTTTCTTCTTAGGGGCTTTAAAACTTTAGGTTGTTACATTTAAGTTTGTGATCTATTTTGAATTACATTTTGTTTATGGTGTGAAGTAAGAGTTGAAGCCATTGTTTTGCATGTGGGTATTCAGTTCTAGAAATCATTTGTTGAAAAGGTTATCCTTTCCTCACTGAATTGCTTTGGCATTTTCATTGAAAATCAGTTGATCATATATATGTGAGTATATTTCTGTTCTCTCTACACTGATATGTTTTGTCTTTCTTTATCTCACAAATGTGATTTTTCTGTGTAAACAAACATTTAATCTTTTAATAAAGCACTGCACACTGTCTTGATTATTAGAGCTTTATAATACCCGGAAGCTAAGTAGTGTGATTCTTTCCTGAATTGTTGTTTGGGATATTCTAGCGCCTTCGCATTTTAGAATCGACTTGTCAGTGTCTACAAAAAAGCTTGATGGGATTTTGATTTAGACTGTATTGAATCTAGAGATTAATTTGGGAGAGAATTGACAACTTTGAATGTTTCTGTCCATGAACATGGTATATCTCTCCATTTATGCAGGTCTGCATTAATTTTTCATAGTAATTGATAGTTTTCAGTGTACAGGTCATGTACATCTGTTGTCACATTTATTCTTAAATATGTAATATTTTTAATGTGATTGTTACTGGTACTTATTTTTGAATTTCAGTTTTCAGTTCATTGCTGCTATGTATATTTATCTTCTATCCTGCAAACTTACTTGCTACTTCTGCTTGCTTTTTTATGGATTTCATAGGATTTTCTATGTAGGTGATCCTGTAACCTGAGAATAAAGACAGCTTTTGCTTCTCCCTTTCCAAACTAGATGTCTGTTCTCTTTCTTCCTTATTGCACTGGCTAAAATACCTAGTACAGTGTTGAATAGAAGGGGTGAGAGGGAACATCCTTGCCTGGTTTCTGATCTTAAGAGGAAAGCATTCAGCCTTTCACCATTAGGAAGGTTATTAGCTTGGGAAGTGTTTCCTCCCCCTGTATTTTCTTAAAGAGTCATTGTAGGATTGGTATTGTTTTCTTCCTTAGATATTTGATAGAATCTAAGCCATTTGGGCCTAGAATTTTCTTTGTGGGAAGAATTTAACTGATAAATTATTAACTCAATTTCTTTAACAGTTATAATTCAGATTCTTTACTTTTTCTTGAGTCAGTTTGGGTATTTTGTTGTTCAAGATACTAAATTTATTGCTGTGATTTATCATACTATTTCCTTATTGTTTCAGTGTCTTTTAGATCTGTTGTGATGTCATTCCTTGTGTTAATAAGTGGTTTTTTTCTCCTTTTTTTCTTTATTAGTCTAGTTAGAGGTTTATCAGTTTAATAGATTCTTTTCCTTGAAGAACTAGCTTTAGTTTCATCCATTTTTTGCTATTTTTTTGTATTTTACTGATTTCTGCCCATATTATTTTCTCCCTTCTATTATATAATTGCCCACATATATGTGATTTCTGACTCCTTTCACTTCTTTGTATATATTCAGGTTTCCTTTTGCTACATTTTCTTCCTGCCTGAAGAGCATCGTTTATTTCTCTTAGTGCAGGTCTTTTGGCAGTGAACTTGCACAGCTTTTATTTACCTGAAAAAGTTTACTTCAACTTGAGTTTTGAAGAATGCTTTCACTGGATATAGAATTCTAGGTTGACAGTTATTTTCTTTCAGCATTTTAAGAGATGTAATTTGTTGAACTCTGACGTGTTTGGTTTCTGACCAGAAGTCTTTGCTCATCCTTATCTTTGTTTATTTAAATATATCTTTTTCCCCCTCTGGTTACTTTTAAGATTTCTCTCTTTATCAGTGTTTTTCAGCAATTGATTTTGATGTGCCTTTGTTGTGCTTTTTGAATGTATATGTTACTGACTTTAGCATTCACTGAGCTTCCTGCCTCTGTGTATTCGTCATTTTCATAAAATTTGGGCAGTATTCAGCCATTATTTCTTAAGGTATATTTTCTGTCTCCTCTACTCTAGTTTCCTTCTGAGACACCAGTTACTCCTATATTATTTTATCCTACAGGTTACTGGACCTCTGGTCTCCCCCCCCCACCCCCCCGCCGCCGTTTTTGTACCCATTTGCTTTATTTTGCTATGGTTTCATGTTCACTGATCTTTTTTTCTGCAGTTTCCAACCTACTGTTAATTTCATCCTGTGAAATTATCATTGCAGGCATTGGATTTTTAATTTTTGATTAGAATATGAACATTGCTGGATTTTGCTGTATTCCTTTAAAGACGGTTGGATTCCTTTTGGTAGGCAGTGAAGTTACTTTTGAGCTTTATTTTTAAACACTCTTAAGGCAAGTTTAGAATAGTCTTTATTCTAGGTCTAATTTATCCTCCAATTCTGAACTTGCCACTTCTGGGCTATCTACTGAATATCTCGTGTATCCAGTGAAATTTCTTATCTCTGGCTGGAGGAAATTTGAATGAGGTCTGGCCCTGTGTGAGCTCTGGGAATTGTTTGTTTTATCATTCCTTCTAACAGTTCTTTCTTCAGAAGTTGTTCTTAGTTCAGCCTTTAAAGACTGGGCTATGCTCTCCCTAAGCATTACAGATTGGAATTCAGCCAAACACTTAAGGGAACACATTCATATTTCAGGAAATATTTCTCTGTGTAACTCCCTCCTCTCTGGAAGTCTCCAGAAATTCTATCTGGCTTTCCCAAACTAGTATGGTTGCTTCTTCAATGAATAAGATTCTGGGGCACTGTTTGGATGCAGTTTGGAAATCACCTCCAGGCAGAAAGCCTGGATTATGCTAGGACTCCCCCATTTGTGTCACTTTTCTCAGAGGTCAGGTCCTGTGCAGCCTATTGTCCAATGTCTGAAAGGAATTCCTACACTTTGTCCAGTTTTTTTTTGCTGTTTACTGTGGGAATGTAGTTTGGACAGTGTTGCTTGCTCATAGCTGGAAGCAGAAGTGCACTATTGTTTCTTTTATTTCGCTCCTTACTCTTCATTTGTCTTGCTGGGTGCATCCTTTAGGAATTCTTTCAGAGACACTGTCACTGGTGAATTTTCTGAGTTCTGGAATTCTGAAAAGTCTGTAGTCCTAAAACTTGAACGATGATTTGGTTACTGAATTTGTAGGTTCAAATTTGTTTTCCTCTGAACTTGGAATATGTATTTGTGTTTCGTTCTGTTCAGTGTTGCTGATGAGAAGTCTGCTTTTATTATGATCCTTCTTACTTTGTAGGAAACCAATTTTTTATTATGACTAGTAGTAGAGTTTTCTCTTCATCTTTTGTTTTCTAAGATTTTGATACGTCCAGTGTGGATTAATCTTTTAAATCTGCTCAACTTTTCTCTTAGGCCGTTTTAAATCTGAGGTCTATGTCTTTTTTAACTTCTGAGAAATGCTATTCTATTATTCACAGAATATTGCCTCTCACCTGTGGATATTGAATGTTGGAACCTTTTACTGTAGCTGCCATTTCTAACTTCTGTAATTTCTGTATCTTTGTGCTGTACTGTGTTATGAGAGAATTCCTCAGTCCTGTCTTTGCTTGCATTTGCCCTTCACCTCTGTCTGTTCTACTGTTGTTTAATTTCAGTGATCAACTTTTTACTTTCTTTATTTGTTATTTGGTTCTTTTTGAGGATATTTTTAATACTTTTGTGTCCTTTTTCACTTTCACATAATCTTGTCTCTATTTCTTTGGATGTAAATTCTTTATTTTTTGAGTTTTGACATACTTTTTTTAAAAAATGATTTTGTCTTCAGTGTTTTTTCTTGTTTATGTTTTCAACTTTGTACCTGATATATTTTCATAGACTGTGTATGAGATAATCTTTTTACTGTTATTTGCTTCTAATGAAAGGTTCTGGACCGCCTGTCCTACTCCATGTTTCAGTCTGGCCAGCTCTACTTTATCTGTTTATGATTTTCTAAACTTTTGTTGATATATAATTCATATAACATAAAATTCACCATTTTTAAGTGTATAATATAGTGGTTTTTCATATATTCACTATGCTGGGCTACCATTACCATTACTTAATTCTAGAACTTTTCCATCACCCAAAATGGAACCCCATACATAATAGTAGTCAGCCGCAATTCCTGTCTTCCCTCCGTTCCCGACAACCACTAATCTACCTTCTGTCTCTTGATTTGCATCTTGTAGACATTTCATGTAAATGGAATCATATGTGGCTTCTCAATCTTTTTTTTTTTAACTTAGCATTATGTTTTCTAGGTTCAACTATTTTGTAGCATGTATTAGTACTTCATTTTTTTAAATGGCTGAATACTCTTCCATTGTACAGATATATCATGCTGTTTTTCTGTGTATGAGTCGGTGGACATTTGGATTCTGTCTTCTTTTTGGCTATTGTGAATAATGCTGCTTTGACAATTTGTGTACACATTTTTGTGTGTGGACATATGCTTTTAGTTAGTTTGTCTATATACCTAGGAGTGGAATTCCTGGGTTATTTGGTAATTCTGTGTTTATCTGTTTGTGATTGTTAATATCTTTTCAAAAGAAGCTTTGACCTTTTCAACAAAAAGTCAACAAAAGAAAAGTAGAAAAACAAACATAAAACACCTACCTAGAATGATGGAAAAACTATTACTCTTAACTAGCAGGTTGATTCTCTGGACTTCTGTTTCTTAATTTGTAAATACACGTGGATTTAACTAGATGGCTTCTGTGTCCCTTCTAGCTTACCCATTTTAAATTTAAGATAGGAATGCTTTTTAGGATTTCATATTGAACACAAGGGTTTGAGACCTTATTATGGGAATAATATAGATTAGGAGTTATTGTGATATGTTATTAGAAGAATAAATCAAATATAGGTTGAGACTTCCCTGGTGGCGCAGTGGTTAAGAATCTGCCTGTCGGGCTTCCCTGGTGGTGCAGTGGTTAAGAATCTGCCTGCCAGTGCAGGGGACATGGGTTCGAGCCCTGGCCTGGGGTGATTGCACATGCTGCGTAGCAACTAAGCCCATGTGCCACAACTACTGAAGCCTGCGAGGCTAGAGCCCGTGCTCTGCGACAAGAGAAGCCACTGCAATGAGAAGCCTGTGCACCACAATGAAGAGTAGCCCCCACTTGCCGCAACTAGAGAAAGCCTGCACGCAGCAACAAAGACCCAGTGCAGCCAAAAATAAATAAAATAAATAAATATATTTTTTAAAAATAAAAAGAATCTGCCTGCCACTGCAGGGGACACGGGTTCGAGCCCTGGTCTGGGAAAATCCTACATGCTGCAGAGCAGCTAAGCCTGTACTCCATAACTACTGAGCCTGCACTCTAGAGCCTGTGAGCCACAACTACTGAGCCCGTGTGCTGCAACTACTGAAGCCCCCATGAGCCTAGAGCCCGTGCTCTGCAACAAGAGAAGCCACCGCAATGAGAAGCCCCTGCACCGCAACCAAGAGTAGCCCCCACTCGCCACAAATAGAGAAAGCCCACGCACAGCAATGAAGACCCAGTGCCCCATAAATAAATAAGTCAATTTTTAAAAATTAAAAAAAATATATAGGTTGAACAGGAAATCTCATTTTGAATTCTTTTGAATGATATATAGTTAATGTTGATTGTTTCAGGTTATGGGAAAGAGTTAAATCAGTGCAGGATTGAAATCATTGCTGCTTCTTTCCATACTTAGTGGACCATAACTGCCTTTGTTCATTTGTCCTGGGTTTGGTTTCATGATGCTTTTCACTTCTTGGTTAATAATTAGTTTCTGATTATTTTACCACTAGGAGTTTGCAGTCCCTGATTATCGTTCTTCTCATCTTGAAGCCAGTCAGGCCTCACAGCTCTTGCAGCAGCAGCAGCAGCAGCAGCTTCGCAGACGACCTTCCCTGCTTTCAGAGTTTCACCCAGGTTCTGACAGGTAACAGGCTTTCTTTTCTGTTTCCAGCCAGGACTGAACTTGTGTCATTTATTTTATTACTTTAATTTTGTTATATTTATCTTGTAATCTTATTAACCAAGCTGTCATTACAGTTTATATTTTGAGCTCTTTTATATTTGTTGACCTTTTGGAGTAGTTGTCATAATAGTTAACAAACTCTTAAAAACTTGTTTCCAGAGTTTGGAGTTAATGCTGTGTAGTGGGCAGTCAGGTTGACCTAGGTTTGAATCCTGGTCAGCTGTTGTGGACTTTGTAGCATTGTGTAAACAGGTGTTCTCAATTCAGGCTGCGTATTAGGACCACCTGGGGAGGTTTAAAAGCTTGATTCCCAAGTCCCATCCCAGAATAATTAAATGAGTCTCTGGGATTGGGCCCAGGTCATTCTCATTTGCAGACAGGGTTGCCAGTCAGTGATTTAGACTTCTCAGACCTTAGTTTTCTACCTGTAAAAATGAGGATAATAATGTCATTGTCTGCAAAGGATAAGTATTTGGTCGGGTAATGTTGGCCCCGTCCATGGCAGGTACTCATTTTCTCCAGGGTCCTTACCATTTCTGCAGTCTTTTACTCCATTCTCACTCTTATTCGAAAGGATTTTGAAGTTTTGTTTTAGCAGTTTTGTAAAGAAACTGATTTACTATTTTAAAAATATGATTACTCTTTGGGGTTTAAGATTATAAAAGGTTTGAAATTATTCGGCCATGTTTAAAATCATTGTAAAATGCATTTCTTGGTAAAGGCTGTGGAGAGAATTCAGATCACTCTCCTCTACTATCTAGCAAATATACGAAGATGGTTTTTTTAAAAAGGGCTAAAAATGCACCCTGCATAAAGAAGGAAAGGATACAGCCACTGCCATAAACTTGGAAAAGTGGCATTCAAGTAAGGAATGAGAATATTGCACAACTTGGCCTCCTAGTTCCTGCTTTTACTCTCAAAGAAGCAGTGTTGAAGAAAGAAAGAAGGTTAGTGTAGTCGTAGGATTTCTCATGATTGCTCCCTAATTTGGGAAGACATGAGTGGGGGTGATGATGTGGTGAACGGTTGGCTTAGGAATCCCCATTATGCCGTCCTGCAGGAAGGATAGTTACAGCGTGCCACTTTCCAAAGTGCTGAGCCAAAGTCCTCAGGACTGCTTTACATGTGCGGCTGGTGGAGCGGGCCCGGATCCTTAGCAAAGGCTGTCACAGCCCCATCCCAGTTTTCCCGTGATTTGCACCACTTTTCTGTTTCCTCAGGCTATATACTTCCAGAAAAGTTTTTTGTTTTTTGTTTTTGTTTTTTTTTTTGCGGTACGCGGGGCTGTCACTGTTGTGGCCTCTCCCGTTTAGGAGCACAGGCTCTGGACACGCAGACTCAGCGGCCATGGCTCACAGGCCCAGCCGCTCCGCGACATGTGGGATCCTCCTGGACCCGGGCACGAACCCATGTCCCCTGCATCGGCAGGCGGACTCTCAACCACTGCGCCACCAGGGAAGCCCCAGAAAAGTATTTAGAAAGCCATATCCAGTCCTCCATCTGTAGACAAACACATTCCAGGCAAAGTGGGGATGAGCAAGGAAAATGCCCACACACCATTCCACACCAAAGAGGAAGTCTGGGTAAGGTTGCTCATAGTATGCCTGAGCAGGAGGGTAAGGGATGCCATGAACAGGGAAAACATATTCCTGGAAAGGAAGATTAAAGCAATACAGTGTTCCAAAAACAAAGACCCGTGTGTGTAAAGAAGATGAAAAACAAAGAACATGGCCCATGAGTGCTGTGCACTGTAGAACTTAAAATTAATAATGAAGTATTCAAAAGCAAAATAAGGCAACCATATCAGATAAAACGAAAGATTGGACATTCCTGTGCCCCCAAGACCACCATTTTAAATTCAATATATAAAGTGAGAAGGAACAAGGAATAAAATAGATGTGGCTGAAAGTCAGACCTTTGTCTTGGAAGAAAGGTCTAGAAATGATCAGAGTGGATACAGAAGAAAAGGACAGAGATTAAAGCAATTAGCAAGAAGTGGATAAATAAGGAGGGCAAATTAAAATCATCCAGCATGTCATAAGAACATGTGTTTCCGAGGTGGAGAACCTGGTAAAGGAAAGGAAATAATATTCATAACTTTAAAAAAACCCCACTTTTTTCCCCTTTAAAGTGAAGGAAGAACTCAATAGGTTGATAGGACATACCTTGCTCCAAGAAAAATTTGCACAGAATGATCAATACCGAGACAGATCCTGGTTATCATTAAAGTTTAAGGCTAAGTAAAAGAATTAGGAATCCAGGAAGCAAAGCACAAGTCCTTGATAGGGGGATAAGAATCTGACAGAGGATATTAATAGTAGAGCAATAGCTACAGAGTTCTGAGAAAAAGAAATTGAGATCCAAGAATATTATATCAGACACGTTTAAAAGCAACAAGCAGACGTTTTTAGACATGAAAGCGCTGAGCATCTAAAGCTTCTTGAAGAATTTCTACATGATGGAATCCAGTCAAACAAAGAATGGAAGCCGTGGTAAAAGGACTACAGTAGCCATAAACCCATTCAAGTGGAAAGTCCATATGAGACATCTCGATGAATTATGCTTCTTTAATGGAATATCAGTACCACATCTTGACAAAGTAAAAATAATATAAGTATCCCAAATAAGCGGTACGGTAAGTATTGGGAGAATGTTTAAAGGTATGCATTTGAAAAGTGTGTGTGGAGACCTCCCTGGTGGTGAGTGGTTAAGAATCCGCCTGCCAGTGCAGGGGACACGGGTTCAAGCCCTGGTCTGGGAAGATCCCACACGCGGCAGAGCAACTAAGCCCGTGCGCCACAGCTACTGAGCCTGCACTCTAGAGCCCATGAGCCACAACTGCTCAGCCCACGTGCTGCAACTGCTGAAGGCTGCGCGCCTAGAGCCCATGCTCTGCAACAAGAGAAGCCACCGCAACGAAGAGTAGCCCCTGCTCACTGCAACTAGAGAAAGCCCGCGCGCGGCATCTAAGACTCAACGCAGCCAAAAAAAAGTAAATAAATAAATTTATCTTAAAAGAAAAAGAAAACTGTTCCTGCAGTGATTTGATGACTTCTAAAATGGAAATATGTTAGGTTAAAAAAATTAAAATCATAATTTTTTTTTTTAATAAATTTATTTATGGCTGCGTTGGGTCTTCATTGCTGCATGCGGGCTTTCTCTAGTTGCAGTGAGCGGGATTTACTCTTCGTTGCAGTGCGCGGACTTCTCATGGCGGTGGCTTCTCTTGTTGTGGAGCACGGGCTCTGGGCACGCAAGCTTCAGTAGTTGTGGCGCACGGGCTTAGGTGCTCCGCGGCATGTGGGATCTTCCCAGACCAGGGCTTGAACCCGTGCCCCCTGCATTAGCAGGCAGATTCTTAAACACCGCGCCACCAAGGAAGCCCTAAAATCATAATTTTAATTAATGCTCTTCATAATTATTTTCCTAACCCTTTAGCAAGATTTTTTTTTTTTTTTTTTTTTTGGCGGTATGCGGGCCTCTCACTGTTGTGGCCTCTCCCGTTGCGGAGCACAGGCTCTCGATGCGCAGGCTCAGCGGCCATGGCTCATGGGCCTAGCCGCTCCGCGGTATGTGGGATCTTCCCGGACCGGGGCACGAACCCGTGTCCCCTGCATCGGCAGGCGGACTCTCAACCACTGCACCACCAGGGAAGCCCAACTGAGGGTCATCTTGATCAGCCAACCATCTTCATAACAAGATTTGTTGAGAAGTCCTGGATTTTCTGCTAGAGCTTCATTAATTTCAGTTACTTCTCCTGATAGAGGAGAATAGAGTTCACTAGCAGCTTTCACACTTTGCAGAGCACCGAATTCCTCTTGTCTGTTCAATTTTCTCCCAGCTTCAGGCAGACTACAGTAAACAACATCTCCCAAAGCTTTCTGTGCAAAATTGCCGATTCCCACTCTTCCAACACCATTTTCTGTTGTTACCCATTCATGTTTGTCTGAATTTACGACCCGACAGCAGAGCGGGTCCGGTGCGCAGCACCCGGACGGCGCCCGCCTGCAGTCCCCAGGCCCGCAGGCTGCAAACCGTGGCCCGCACGCTCCGCACCACTGGCAGCGCCATGTATGCAGGGGTGCAGAGGGTCTCTGTGCAGCATCTAGAGCGCCCCCAGCCGGCGGGGAGAGGGTTTATCTTTTTAAAAAAATTAAAATGATTAGGTACATTTCAATAAAAAATTCATTTGATAAATTTGTTTTAAAGCTATTTAAAGATGATACTAAGAGATGATGAAAGTCAGTAAAATGTAGGGAATTTTAAGTCTAAAAGGCTACAGAGATATTTTAGTATGAAAATCTGTCTTTCTTGTTTGTTTGTTTTGGAAATACCACATTTTATTTTTCTATTCATCAGTTGATAGCTGTTTTCAAGCACAGATTTTTCTGTGGCTATCTATATATTCCTTTTTCTTGGTCCTATACCTAGGAGTAGGATTGCTGATTACATGGTAGTTTTTTGTTTGCCATTTGGGAAACTACCAGACTGTTAACAAAGTGGCCACACCATCATACGGTATTAGTTTTTTTTTTTAATTATTATTATTTAAAAAAATAAATTTATTCATTTTTGGCTGCATTGGGTCTTCGTTGCTGCATACAGACTTCCTCTAGTTGCGGCGAGTGGGGGCTATTCTTCGTTGCAGTGTGCGGGCTTCTCATTGTGGTGGCTTCTCTTGTGGCAGATCATGGGCTCTAGGCGCTCGGGCTTCAGTAGTTGTAGCATGCAGGCTCAGTAGTTGTGGCACGTGGGCTCAGTAGTTGTGGCTCATGGGCTCTAGAGCGCAGGCTCAGTAGTTGTGGCACATGGGCTTAGTTGCTCTGCGGCATTTGGGATCTTCCTGGACCAGGGCTTGAACCTGTGTCCCCTGCATTGGCAGGTGGGTTCTTAACCACTGCGCCACCACGGAAGTCCTGGAATTGTTTTCTTAATTTCACATCCAGATTGTTCATTGCCAGTGTATAGAAATAAAACTGATTTTTGCATGTTGGTTTTTTTTTTTATCCTGTAACTTTGCTCTGTTCATTTATTAGCTCTAACATTTTTTGTGGATTCTTTTGAGTTTTCTACATATGAGATTTTGTCATCTGTGAATAGAAATACTACTTCTTTTTCAATTTGGATGCCTTTTCTCTCTCTTCTTGCCTAATATTCTGATAAGAATTCCCAATACTATATTGAAAAGAAGTGGCAAAACCAGGCATCCTTGTCTTACTCCTGAAGCTTCCTACTCCAGTATTTTTTGTGACATCATTGTGAATTTTAAGGAGACAATGGGATCTTATGTCTTGAATGAGATTTCAAATTTTTGAAGTATAATAAAATTATAGACCTCAGGGTTTATTTTATCATCTATCCTAAAAACCAAACCCCATGATTAACTTTTCAATGAAAAGTTGTTTTGTGAGACATTCGTTTAAAGCTTGGCTATAGGTAAGATGTCGCTTCTGTAAATACTTTGGTAGAAAATGAAAAGTCAAATTAACAAACACCCATACATAGTACTCTATACAGTATATCATGTAGAGAAATTAAAAACAGATTCCTGACCTTCAAGATACTTATGAACTTGGAGAAACTAGACAAAATACATGTATTAGGGGTCAGAATTATGTATTCAAAGTACTGTTGCATTCCCACTTGAGACTTATTTTTAAGTCTTAATAATACCTCACGACTCAAGTCATTTATCTTTCCATGTGGCAGTTGCTGGGAAATTTTTTTTTTTTTTTCTGCTTGCTTTTATTACTGGTTGAAAATGATGGCTCTTCTGGGCTAGATTATATTCAGTTTTTATGGCATAGGTTTAAAAATACTTTATGGATATTTTTCAGCAACTTCAAATTTTCTGCAAGTTGAAATCTTCTGTTACAACTTTCACTGCTTTATCACCTCTACTCCCACCTACCCTGAAGAAACTTTTCCTATCAGGATTTAGGTTTAATAGTACTTTATAGTGAGGTATATATTCTCCTGGGGTGAGGAAATACATTTGAAAGTGAGCATACCTTTTCTTTTATTTCATAGTTCAACCAGGGATGTTAGCAGGAAGTTGTACATCACTTAAACATTTTCAAGTGATTATTTTCGTTGTATGTATTAGGCCTCAAGAAAGGAGAACTGGATATGAGCAGTTTCACCCAGGCCCTTCCCCGGCAGATCATGATTCACTGGAATCCAAGCGACCACGTCTGGAGCAGGTTTCTGATTCCCATTTCCAGCGGGTCAGCGCTGCGGTCTTACCTTTAGTGCACACGCTGCCAGAAGGGGTGAGGTCTTCTGCAGATGCTAAGAAGGTAAATATTTGTTCTCTTACCCTGTGGAGTTGTCGGTCTGAAATGTTTGTTTAGCCATATTCAGGCACAGCGCCTAAAAGAAAGTCCAGTTATGCCAGTCTCTAAAGGTTAGTGCTATGGGAAAGTAAAAATTTTGTTAAACAAAACTAAAAACCACAGACTTAATACTCCAGACTTTTAAAGTCAGTACTTTTAACTTTTTGGTAATTGAAAACAATCCGAGGACTGCTGTAAAGAAAAATTGCTGTTGAATGACATTCAATTGCTGTTGAATCTCAAGCATTTTATATCGGCTTGTTAGGCTGTAAAATGTGGTCAGACTCAAGACTACCACAGTTCTGTTAAATTTAAATTAAGTTTTAAATAATACCTTTAAATTCAGTTGCAGTTTATTAACTTACCGCATAGGAGAAGACACGTTTTAGGTGAGGTTTAATTGTGCTTATAATTTTTGTAAAGAAAGTTTCTTTTTCTAATTTATGTAGAAAATATGTTCTTGCAAATACAGAGGAAAAAAGTTATCTATGATTCTCTGTCTTAGAGGTAACTGTTATACTTTTAATGTGTAGCTGTATCTCGTGACATTTCAAACAATGTGTATTGTGGATTTATGAGAAGGTTCTAAGATCAAACCTCTTTTTTTCTTATGTTTATTATTATTTACCTTTCTTTTGTGAAATGCATCTTCCTGTATTATGCCCTTATTTTGTTGCTGAGTTTATCATATTTAACTGTCTGTTTTGCTTGTCATTAAATCATCAGATTAGGAAGTACCTGGCACTTAGTAGGTACTGAATAAATATTTGTTTTAGAAAGAATAAACTAATTCTTTAAAACACTTTTAACAATAAAGTGTTAACCCCTTTACTATCATATTTTCATACCTCTTACCCCTGCCTTTTTGTTATCAAATATTTTTCCCATAAAGTTTATTTGCCTTTATGGCTAATGGCCCTGTCCACCCTGATATCAGATAAATAAATACACATTTTCTTTGAGTTTTAATGCAGTGAGAAATGATTTAAAAGATAGTGAATATGTTTGCAATTTATCTTCAAGTAGATCAACTGGGGAAAAAAAAGGTAGGTGTGTGCATGTGTATAGAGACAAAGCAAATATAGCAAAATGTTACAACTAGTGAATCTAGATGAAGATATTGAGTGTCCATTATACTAGTCTTTCAACTCTTATGTAAATTTGAAAATTTTCAAAATAATAAGTTGGGTGGGGAAAGCTCTTTGTGATAAGCTAGAAATGAACTAAGCTTCTAGGAATATTGAGACCTGCTTCACTATGTGGAGTATGTATTATAGTCTATGGATTTATAAGAAATGTGTGAAACATTTAAAAAAGAAGGAAAGAAAGAAAGAAATACAGTGAATAAAGGTCTTCTTCCAAGGCTGAATAAATGACCACAAAGGTAATTTATACCTATGGATTTTTTTGGCAGAAAGAGATCTTAAAACTTCATCCATTTAAATAATGTGTTATGTTGGATCAGAGTACAGTTGATTTCCGTTTTATAGTAGAGAAGACAGATGTTAAGAAAAATTAAGTGACCTAGGTCGAGCCTCCTGAGTTGGAGTGAGAACCCATGACCTCTGACCCCTAGTCCTGCTCTTCCCCTCCCCCCCCCGCCCCCCCCGCATGACTTTCCTTTTTTTAGAAGTAGGGATTTTGAAAGAATTAGCATCTGTTAGTTTTTTTCTTTTTTTTAATGTTGTTAAGCCCAGGTATATCATGTATAGGATTAAATTAGATAAGTTTGAAGGAAAAAGTTACAGTCTCACCAGTTAGAAATTGTTGTTAATTGTGCATATTTTAATGTGCTTGCTTTGTATATTGTATATAGCTTTATTTTTGCTTAAATACATACTTCTTGTGTCGTTAAGTTTACAATTTTATTTTTAGTCATATTCCATGTATGGATATAAAATAATTTATTTAATTGCCACACATTTGGGTTACCTGTTTGCTCATTAGAACAATGACATATTTTCTTTAGGTTGATTTTTTTTTTTTTTTTTGGGTACATGGGCCTCACTGTTGTGGCCTCTCCCGTTGTGGAGCACAGGCTCCGGATGCGCAGGCTCAGCAGCCATGGCTCACAGGCCCAGCCGCTCCGCGGCATGTGGGATATTCCCGGACCAGGGCACGAACGCGTGTCCCCTGCATCGGCAGGTGGACTCTGTACCACTGCGCCACCAGAGAAGCCCAATAGGTTGATTTTTGTGTTTGGTTTTTTTTTTGGCTGCGCTGTGTGGCTTGCGGGATCTTAGTTCCCTGACCAGGGATCGAACCCTCACACTGGGCAGTGAAAGTGCGGGGTCCTAATCGCTGGACCACCAGGGAAGTCCCTGGGTTGATTTTTTTGGTATACAGTCTTATTTATTTAGCTAAGGTAAATTCCTGTTAGTGTAAGTAATTAGAGACCAGAGTTGGCATATTTTAAGGTTTTCATGAGTGTATCCAGATTGCCCTGCAAAGGAGGAGAACAAGTTTTTGTCCCTGATAGCACAGTATAAGGGCTCTCAGGTCTTGTGTGCCCTTACAGATACCACATATTTACTGTTTTTAAAAAAGTCATTGTTTGATACATTTTTAACTTGCATTTATTTGCTTGTTAGTAAAATTTAACATTTTTTCATTTATTTTTCCTGTTTTATGAATTGCTTTTTCATATCTATTGCCCATTTTTCTGTTGGTGTGTTTTTTATTTTATATTGAGTTGTTAGAGTTTACATTTTGCAAATAATTTTTTCCATTTGCATTTTAAATTTTTTCAATTTTGATGAAGAGAAAATTGTTTTTTTATTTTGATTCATCAATTTTTTTTTTTAATGTCTTTTGCTGTTGGCTTTCCTGAGTTCAAGATAATGTGAATGCCTTTTTTTGTTTGTTTGAGGCTTCTTGTGATTTGCTAATAAATCTCATATAAATGTTTGCTATTATTTGGCTTTCATTGTGATATAAGATGTGAGATAGGAGTCTTAACTTCTTCCCTCAAATTACTATCAGAATGTTCCAATACAAAATTATAAACTCCTTGAAGACGAGCATCATGCCTGTTTCGTTCACCACTCTACCTAGTGCCTGTCATATAATAGGCACTCAAGGAATTGGTTTACTGTTAAATATTTAACTAGAGAAGAAGTCAGTGGAGAATACTGATTTGTAATAGTAGTTCTTAGGGCACGGATCAGATCACCTGAGGAGCATTTTCAAAATCTGCTGAATCGAAATATAATCTGTTTTGCTGTTATACGTGTTATGTTACACAAATTAGCTCATATGCATATGTAAGAGAATGATATGAATATAACATGGAAGTCCTAAAGATTCGTGAATGATTGTTCCTAGCACATGAATGTTTTCAGGCTCTCAGGATCAAGCTGTCTCATAATTAAGAAATAGCCTTTGAGATAGACGAAGACCTTAAAAAGATTTGAAAAGTCTGCATTTAGTTTTCATTTAGTGCAGGTAGTACCTGGCTTAGTTAATTCAAGAACTGCTCTGCTTTTCAATGTTAAGCTAACTAATGAAGATTGGAATGTTGAAAAGAAACTGCGAAGACATTTTCTCCTGTACTTTTTTGTTTTTAAAGGTTGATAAAAATCTTTATACCCCGAATCTGATTTTTATTTTGATGAAACATACTATTTTCTACTGGAAGCAAATGACCTCAAGGATTAACAAAGGAAGCATAAACTCTAGGGTTTATGACTACCAAAGAATTGACTGTAGTCTAAATGCAAATGATATTGGAGCTTTAACAATATTATTACTTCTATTAGGATCGCTGTTGTTTTTGCTAATGCTCTGCTTACAAAGTTTAAGTAATAACCATAATCCTATTTTCCCCAGAAGTCTTTATATTAAACTATACTATTACAGAATATCAGACTTTTCAGGAATATACATGTTACGTTTTAGTTGAAATCTGTGTTCCAAGGTGTTTTGGAACAACTATCCAGGTATAATTAAGTGCATTCTTGGTTAGAACTACTGATTTCTCACAGTTAATTAATCTTTTTTAATACATTGAGGGCTCTGTAGTCCTAGGAACTATGCTCATTCTAGGCTTCTTATACCCTAAAGAAAACTAGTACCTTAACCTAAAATTTATCTGCTTTACAGTGTTGCTTATATCTTCGCTTTAGACTGGAGATTGGTAGGCTGTATGTGTGTGTGTGCATGCGTGCATGTGTGTGTTGACGGGGTGATAGGTTTTGGGTGGAGGGGCCTTCAATCTGCTGTAGTCCCCTGCTGGTTTGGAGCTGGAATGGGATGATATATTTGGCTGAAGAGATGTTATGTGCGCTATAGGGTAGCCAGGCTTAGTTGCCCTTTATGAAGGTAGGCCTGGGTGATTGTAGCAACAAAAGTTCTAGATCATTTCTCGGACTTCTGTACCTCACTGTTGGCCCTTGGAAAGTCTGAAAACTTTTTGATAGGAACAGCCATATCATAGCTGTTATGTTGGGTGGGCACACAGGGTATGCATGTTCAGACCTTTTGGAGTGCCATTACAAGGAAATGGCTGAGGAATTGATATCTTCCTTTGCCGTGATTGCGTTATTATTTCTGCAGAAATTAGAAGTCTCAGTATCGTTGTACTAAAGGCTGATTAGCCAATTAGCCACCTCATTCTGGATAGCTTTTAGGATCTTCAAAATTGTGAATGATATGTCTAAACTATAAACATCAGTGGTGTGGGTTTGTGTGTGTGTGAGAGAGAGAAAGGGAGGGAGGGAGAAAATTGCTACCGCAGGACTGCCACCTACAGAGAGCACACATTGCTCTGCTAAGCTTTAAAATTCACATTTTTCAGTTAAGAGGATCTTGAAGCTGACATTGGCTGTTGGTGAGAAATCATTTGTTCTTGATTTTCTTCCTTAAAGGATCCAGCATTTGGAGTCAAACATGAAGCTCCTTCCTCTCCAATCTCTGGGCAACCATGTGGAGATGATCAAAATGCTTCACCTTCAAAACTTTCAAAGGAAGAGTTAATACAGAGTATGGATCGTGTAGATCGAGAAATTGCAAAAGTAGAACAGCAGATCCTTAAACTGAAAAAGAAACAAGTAAGTGTTTGATTTTACTGCTTAATACATTCTCAGAATGTATGTTCGTCTCCCTAAACAAGAGAATGTTGAACTTTCCGTATTTTTAACTTTACCTAAAGGAAATCATGCCTTGTATGTTCTGTGACTTGCTTATGTTTGCTGTTGGTTTCCTTAGTTTCATCCATTCATTTTCTTGTGGTATTGTCTGGTTTTATGAGTCCAGATAGCAAAACTCATTTGTCTATTCTGTGTTGGCTCTTACTGGATGTGTTGTTTCTAGTTTCTTGCTATTCCACACATGGTGCTATGTTTTTGGTTCACGTGTAGACAGATTTTCTAGGGCGTGTGCCCAGGAATGGCGTTCCGTGGCCTGAGCATGTGCACGTGTTCGCATGTGCTAGATGAGACCACATCTGCTGAGATGGCAGCACCATTTATACTCCCACTGGCAGTGTGTTCACGTTCCAGTTTGTGCATGTTCTTGCCTTCACGTGGATGTGAAATAGTTCTAATTTGCATTTCTCTGACGAGGAATGAGACAGAGCTTGTTTTCATTTGTTTATGGGTTGTGTGCCTTATGTGGATGGTTACTTTGTTATTTTCTTATGTTTAGTGTTTCCTGAAGCCTCTCATCAGGTATGTGTATAGCACATGTCTCCTAATTTGTGGCTCGTCATTTCACTTTTTGGGGGTGGGGTGGGGGGGTGGTTTTTTTTGAGATTAAGAAAGTGTACTGTTAAAGTGTACACTTTAGTGTACACTTTTAAAGTGTACAGTTCAGTGGCTTCTATGTATTCATAAAATTGTGCAACTGCCATCATTATATATTTCCAGAACATTTTTATCACCTCAGAAAGGAACCACATATCTTTTAGCAGCTACTCTATTTCCCTCTCCCCCCAGCCCCTGGCAACTATAAACCTCTTCTCTGTATATATGGATTTGCCTATTCTGGACATTTCAGATAAATATAGAATCATAATATGTGACATTTTGACTTCTTTTATTTAGCATGTTTTCAAGAGTCACCCGTGCTGTATCTTGTATCAGCACAAAATTCCCATTGCATGGATATACTGTGTTTTGTTTATCCGTTCATTAGTTGATGGCATTTAGGTTGTGTTCACCTTGGGATGTTATGAATAGTGCTGTTAGGACACACTAGTTTTTGTGTGGACATGTTTATTTGGTTCTCTTGGATATATGCTAGAAGTAGAATTGGCAGAGTCACGTGACAAATCTCTGTTTAAAGCTTTGAGGAACTGCCAAACTGTTTTCCAAAGTGGCCGTGTGTCATTTTAAATTCCCACCAGCAGTGTATGAGGGAGGGTTTCACCTTCTCTACTTCCTTGTCAACATTTGTTGTTGGTTTTTTAAAAAATAGCTATCCTAGTAAATGTGAAGTGGTATCTCATTGTGGTTTTGATTCTCATTTTCTTAGTAACCAGTGATGAACATCTCTTTATGTGCTTGTTGGCCATTTGCATATTTTCTTCAGAGAAATGTTCGTTCAGATACTTGGCCCAGTTCTTTTTTAGCTGGGTTGTCTTTTCATTGTTGAGTTGTAAGAGTTCTTTATATATTCTGCATACTCAGATGTATGATTTGCAAATATTTTCTCTCATTCTGTGGGTTGTCTTTTTACTTTCCTGATAGTATTCGTTGATGTACAAAACCGTTATTTCCTCTATTTGATTCATTCAAATATTTATTGAGCATCTAGGGAGATACAAAAGTGATTAAAACATGGTCAAAGAGGTAAATCAAATGAATAAATAATAGAAGGCAAAGTATAAGATTCACTGAATCACAGCAGTCAAACGAAAGTGCTGTAGGAAATCAAGAGTGAGATTGCTTCTAGCCTGGAGAGGGGTGTGGGTGGCTGGAAAGTCAGGAACTGGGATTGAGATTAAAATAGAAGACTTCCTCTGGATTGCTAACGAGACTCAGTTTGAACCCTCCTTTGTATTCGTCTCTCCTTTTCCTCTCTCCCTGTCTTAATTTACCAGGACTGTTCATTGTGCTTTTTCCTAGACTTGCCTGCATTTTTACTTTAATGTCTTATACCGAACTAGGTCCTTTTGGTGTTTTAGGAGGTTTTTTTTTCTTTTTCTTTTTTTCCCTCTGTTTCTTGGAAGGATTCTTGACTTTTTTGCTCTTGGTATTTGATGGTTTTGAGTCTTTTCCATTATGGTTTGATTTTATGCCTTTCTGGCTGGAGTATCGTACAGATTTCTTTGCTGGAGCTTTTTCTTCAGCTTCTCTTCACCTTCATCAGCAAGTTTTGCTTGTTTTCTGTGGAACCTTGCTACCACTTCCAGATACACTTAGGGGTTTCACATCCTCCTCTTCTTCATCTTCTTACTCTGCATCTTCTAAGTGCTGTCCACTAATAAGTACAAGCCCTGAACTACTTTTAGACCACAGGTAGTATTGTTTCAGAGCCCCCCAGGGAAGCCATTGGCTGTACAGACGTTATCAACCTTGCCAGGGCTGCTTTGCTTAGGCTGCCTCTGCCTCAAGAGTGTGCACCAGCCCCGAAACTGACCCTTCCTAAAGATAACTGCTCATTTTCATCATTCTCCACTTTGAAGTGATAATCTTTGTTTGTCTTCAGTTGACAACTAAAAGATAGTTCTGGGGCCCCAGGGGCACACACTTAGGTGGGAGAGAAGGTGGACAGAGATAAGTGACTTCCTTTCAGAGGACAGCTGAGCAGGACAGAGTCATACCGGGGTGGAAAGTTTTTAATTGTGATGAAGTCCAGTTTATTTTTTCTTTCATCACTTGCACTTTTGGTGTCATATCTAAGAACCTTAATCCAAGTTGCATAATCCAAGGTCACAAAGATTTATACCTATGTTTTCTTCTCGGAGTTTTGTAGTTTTAGCTCTTACATTTAGGTCAGTATTTTGGTGAACAGAATTTCTGTAGGTTTTATATGAGACTACCCTGGGACCATTGAAAGAGTTTACTTATATTGTCTTTTTAAAAGTTTTATAGTTTTCTCATCAAATTATTCTTTTTTTTAAATTTATTCTTATTTATTTATTTTTGGCTGTGTTGGGTCTTTGTTGCTGTGTGCGGGCTTTCACTAGTTATGGTGAGCGGGGACTACTCTTCGTTTTCGGTGTGTGGGCTTCTCATCTCCGTGGCTTCTCTTGTTGCGCAGCATGGGCTCTAGGCACGCGCCCTTCAGTAGTTGTGGTGCATGGGCTCAGTAGTTGTGGCTCGTGGGCTCTACAGCGCAGGCTCAGTAGTTGTGGTGCGTGGGCTTAGTTGTTCTGCGGCATGTGGGATCTTCCTGGACCAGGGCTCGAACCCGTGTCCCCTGCATTGGCAGGCGGATTCTTAACCACTGCGCCACCAGGGAAGCCCTCATCACATTATTCTTAATCTACCAGAAATTGAATTTTTGTGTCTGCCTCAAGGTAGGGGTCAATATTCATTTTTTTCCCTGTATCGATAATTAAAAAGGTCATCCTTTTCCAACTGTTCTACACTTTTAGCTCTATTATAATTCAGGTTTGCATCTATATATGGATTGATTTCTGGGCTTTGTGGTCTTTGTGTTCTTTGTGGTACTGATGCAGAAATAGAATAGATATCCTTCTGATTACTAGAGCTTTATTCTTTTTTTTTCCAGTGAGGCAAATCCCACTTCTATGGGCATGATTTAGCTTTTTTAAAGTTTTTTACCATCTCATATAACTTTTAGAATCATTTTTTTCAGTTTTCCAAAATATCTTTCTGTAATTTTCATTGGAATCATATATAATACAGAAATCAGTTCAGGGACGATGGTATCTTTATCTTAATGAGTCTTCCTGTCCGTGGCTATGGTATATCTGTCTATTTAGGAGGGCTTTCATGTGTTATTACTTTCTTTATTTTTTTTATTTATTTAATTTTTTTTATTATTACTTTCTTTTATATGCCTTGTGTTAGATTCAGCTCTAGGAGCTTTATATTTTTGATGCTATTGTTAATAATATCTTTTCAAAAATTATATTTCTTCTGTTGCAGTTTTTTTTCACATGCTAGAATTACTTTTTAAAAAAAATATTGAAGTATAGTTGATTTACAATGTTGCATTAGTTTCAGGTGTACAGCAAAGTGATTCATATATATATGGTCTTTTTCAGATTCTTTTCCATTATAGGTTATTACAAGATATTGAATATAGTTCCCTGTGCTATACAGTAGCTCCTTCTTGTTTATCTTCAGTCTTTTTTTTTTTTTTTAATATATGCCAGCAACCTCCCTAAATTATCCTTGTAATGTTAATTACTTATTTGTAGATTTTTTTGGGTTTTCTATGTAGGTAATGGTCACATCAACAGTAAAAAAAAAAAAAAAAAAAAAAAAAAGACAGTTGTTTCTTTCCTTCCAGTTCTTAAACCTTTTCCTTTTCAGTTGCCTTATTGCTCTGCTTAAGACTGCAGTGCAACATTGGGACTTTCCTGGCAGTCCAGTGGTTAAGACTTCGCCTTCTAGTGCAGGGGGTGCGGGTTTGATCCCTGGTCCGGGAGCTAAGATCCCACATGCCTCCGCAGCCAAAAATCTAAAACATAAAACAGCAGCAATATTGTAACAAAATTCAATAAAGACTTTAAAAATGGTCCACATCAAAAAAAATTTTTAAAAAAAACCTGCAGTGCAACATTGAAAGTGGTTATTCTTGTTCTTTTCTGCTTTTTCAGGAATGCCTTTTACTTTTTACTACCACTGGTTATGATGTCTGTATTATAGACATCCTTCCTCAGATTGGGAAATTCCCATCTGGTCCAGTGTGCTGAGAATTTAATCATGAGGGACATTGAAGTTCACCAGTTGCTTTTTCTGCATAAGTTTGTTGATCTTATTATTCTCCTTTAAAATATATTAATAAGGTGAATGACGTCAGTTATTTTTCTAGTGTTAAATCACCTGTGGATTTCTACGTTTAACCTAACTTAGTCATGATGTATTATCTATTTTTAATAAATTGCTGGACTTGACTTACCAGTATTTATTTT